TGCTTCACAGATGCTTCACTGTTGGACCTCCCCCTGACCTCCTCGTACATACTGACCATGATTTGAAACAAACCTTTTCAAATTTATATTCCTCACACCATCACACTCGTTGCTCTGATTTTCAGTCCAGTTCTTGTGTGATTTAATACTCAGTCTTGGCTTCTTGACAGTCGTCCTTCACCTGAGATCATTTCTGCTGAAGCTTCAGTGAACAGCAGATGGATCAGCTGAAGGTCCAAATACATCAGATCCTGAATCAGGTCTTTACTTTTTTCCTGATTCTTGTTCAGCTTCCTCAAATCTTTTAAGGACAGATGCACACCACACTGAGATAAGCCAGCTCCTCAGCTCACAGCTATTGAGCTATTTCGTTGGTACAAAAATACTATTTCATGTCAAAGTGTGTTATCTTGGGTACTTTTCACAGATTCAAGTGAGGACAGTAAAGAAATGAGACCAAATCTAAAATAGTCTCTTTGCTAAGTTGTCTGTTATGTGTAGAGACAACACAGTTTCATCTGCAAGGAGCTTTTTTATGCATGAATGACTCAGAGGTCAGAGTTATGCAGCTGAACTAACAAAAGCTTTAAAAACAGACAGGTACGAGGCCTGGATTGAAAACGAGTGAAAAAGCCGCCAATGTCAAAAAAATAAAAACAATCTGAAAAACCTTCAGAGAACTCAAGACCACGTTAAAAATGACGAGAAAGTCTGCTCCATGGAAACCAAACAGAAAGAAATAATGGGCGGCTCAGGACACAGAACGGCACAAAATCAAAGTTTAATTTAAAAATAACTTTTTTTAGGTTTTTAATGCGGAAACAAGGACAGGTAGGTCGCACGCAGCCATCGATGTGTCACATTCAGGACTGTGAAGCAGGAACTCGGAGATTCAACAACAAAACTGTTTTATTTTGTGTGAATAAATCGAGTCAGTTACTTTTTGTTGGCTTTTGTTGACTTGACTGGGAGGCCTGTGAGGAGGCTGTGGGGGACATGCTTTGTATATTAGATTAAAACACATTAATTAGCTGTCCAGCGTGTCCCTTTGTGGCCCTGAAGGAAACGGCGTTTGACAGCCCCGCTGCGACGCGTACGAAAAAACCTTAAATTTAAATGTGACAAGAGGCCGTCAGTCAACTGTGTGCAAAATAAAACCTTTGATCTAAAATAGGAAGCATAATAATGACATCCAGGTAAAGAGCTCGAACACACACTCTCCCATCAGCGATTAAACAGCGCTTCTCTCAGGCTCAGCAAACGTGATTGTTGTTTCTAATTAAAAGCAGCAGAGATGAAGGCGTGCGACTCGAATCGTCACATAAAGAGCAGAAAGAAACAAATCACACATCCCGGTCTCACCTAAACATAGCAGCACACCGAGAGCATCCCCTTTTATTTCCAGCTCGCTCCACTACGCTGTTGTTTAATTTTAGAGACAATGTTCACACTTTTGGATACCACACATCAACAAACAGACTGTGCTGACACACAGACGATATCACACAAACTTATTTAGAGAAAATGAGTCAGCAGCACGTCAGTAAATGCAGCACCAGGAGCGTCAAGCATGCGTCTGTGTGTACCTGTTGGGGGGCAGTGGTGTGACCTGTCCCAGGGGGGTGGTGGCAGGTGTGGGGGGCTTCAGGTCCCCCGCTGCCTCTGCTGTCGAGCTGCTGCCAGAGGACTGAGGTGTCTGTGGGCCCTGGAGGGAGCCGCCTGAATGAGCTGGGAGACACAAATAGGAGCATTAGTTCTGTATCATAAGAACACATGGACACTGTTGGTCTTCAGATACAATCTGAAGGTTGAGTTCGAGCTGGTTTTACTGCAGCGATGTGCCGTAATAGGGAGAGAACTTCGGGTTTAAGGCCAAAGCAGTCGCAGCGATGCCCTACACGAGACGGGAGCCTACAGGAGGCGAGCGGAGGAAGAGGAGGCAGGAGGAAGAGGGAAGGATGCCTCCACTCACAGACCTGCTCTTAATGTTTATTTATTTATTTTTAGAAAGAGGGGCAATACATATTAATAAACATTTTAACAAATGTAAATATGCCAGATTATAGCCTTGGGCTAATTTCCATCTGCAGACCCTCTGGCAGGTTGGTGTTAAACACAAGTTAGTAAAAACATACAGAGACACTATTTACAGGTCATGTGACGAGGACAAAAACAGTGATCACATTATAGCAGAACAAACAATGACAAGGAGAGTGGACACAGAGGACAGTATAGATGACAATAACAGAAACACATCAATTATATTGCACAAACCCCAGTATTGTACATGCCCTGACCGTCGTGATATTGCGTTCACCCATTGCACTAACAGTTGTTTCCCTTTTTGTAATACACTAACTTTTTCCCGTCCAATATAAAGCATGATTATTAAACATGATCACATGTTTGTGTGTCCCTCAGCCGCCCTTTTAAGTGACTCTTAAAGATGGGTAGACTTGTACTTTCCCTCACTGACAGTGGAAGACTATTCCAGAAGCTCACTCCCTGATACGACAGAGCATCTGTGAACAGGTGGTCCGCCTGAATGCCAGTTCACAATCACCTCTAACAGTGGCTCGAGTCAGTCGAGACCCGGCAACACTGCTAGACTTTTGTTTAATAAAATCACTCATTGGTGGAGGCGCCAGACCATGTATAACTTTGTATATTAGACAGACAGATTTAAATCATTTGAAATTAGTAAAATTTAAAAACTTGTGATAGCTGATGTGTGAGCTGTCTGAAGATTTTTTTGTTTTTGTGTGCCATCGACTTCAAGTGGCGAGCTAAGCTTGAGGCCACAGATGTATCAGATGTAAAATTAAACAGCTAATGTGATGGACATGACATGTTCAAGCTAACGCTTCAGAAAGCTTGAGGTTTCACACAGAAACTCTGGGGTTAAGAGCAGGTTAGTGCGAACTTTTCTTATGACACCTAAACTCCTGATGATGAGGAAATTAGAAGAAATTTGAACCCCCAGCCCGATAAAAGCAACAGATCCAAATTCCCAGGAGCAGGTTTAACAGAAGACGTGGACCGATCCAGTGAAATCATGACAAAGACGGAGACAGAGAGAATATGAAAGTGTCCTAATGAGCATTTAGTATAAGAAGCCTTTCTCTCGAATATCCTGAGTGGCCTTTCCCTGCACCGCATGTTTCCATAGAAAGACTTAAGCTTTAAAAATTCATGCTAATTCTGAATTATTCAATGATACCCTCTGCCTCTACATCACAGGAGACGGAGAGAAGGAGCGCGAGACAGGGAGAGATGGTTATCCCATGATTATGAGCAGGAGGTAGGAGAGGGGGCAACGAGGGGTCAGCGAGCATTAGGGATTCTTCACTTCCTGGGATATCCCGGCGTCAAACGGAAAGCACGCGTGGGGAAGTGCAAACAATTGCGGGGTCAGTCGGGGTTAAGAGGTTTACCATTCTAAGAGCGGCGGCGGTGGGGGTGGTGGCGGTATGAGGATGGAGGACAGCGTGAACTTAAGTGCCCTCTGCTCGTCTTTTAGAGCGAGACGTAAGGGGGGAAAAGTGTGAGTCTCTTTGCTAAGTTGTCTGTTATGTGTAGAG